TCGGTGCCGTGGTGGGCAAGTGACGTAACCGGTGTTGTGGCAAGACTATTGTGCACCAAACACTAGGTATACAGTCATGGCCAACAGTTTTGGCAGTGACATAAATTTTGTGTTTTGCAAAGTTTGCTGCTACAGTATTTGTAGATTATTTTTCCACATGTTTCTATGGTATACTGAAAAACAATGTTAAGCATATCATTAGTTTTAAAGGCTTTTATTGGCAAAAAAAATATAACGAGTCAATATTTACAGTGTTGACCCTTGTTCTTCATAACCTCTGCAATTCGCTCTGGCATGCTGGATATTAGCTTCTGGGCAAAATTCTGACTGATGTCACAATTTGTGGGCTTCTGCTGGTTTTTTTTTTTTTTATAGTTTATAGTTATATGGTAACAAAAATCAGAAATCTCACACTCTTTACCTTCTGCATGGGCAGAACTGGTACTCTATGCACGTGTACTCTTTTTGAGATTCAGTTTTCATGAGATTAACCCAGTTGCAAGCCTAATGTGAATGGATCAGTAATTTCTGAAATCAACCTAATGAATTTGATGGAATTGGACTGAGTACTGTGTAGAATTGTTTTTCTGTACTCTAGATATTTCACTTGCTTTCACACTAACTGGACTTACATTATAGCTTTTACCATGGTTTATTATCCATGATTGCAAAAGTAGTCATCTGACATCTAAAAAAAAATGTGATGACCAGAGTTTGGCTAGATGTGTTGATGCAGGCCCACGGCAGACCACACAAATCCAGTTGTACAGTAGATGGTTAGATATGTATTACCCGCTAGTTTTAGTACTTAACCTCAACTCTGCACAAGCATTCCAGCCAGAGTAATTGCCTACTTGGTGGTCTGTTGATTTTTCTATTGTTTTGCTTGTGTACAGCTAGATGGATGAAGTCTCATTGCAGCGTTGGCTTGACTTCAGTGAGTCCTGCAATGCCCAGCAGAGTTTAATTGTGTTACACAAACAGGGGACACAAGCACTCGATATGGGCTCTCACAGTGCACTTTGTCGTTAGTTTAGAGAGAAAGAAAAGAAATCAGAGCTTAAGTGAGCCAATTGTAAAGTCTTTTGCATTCCGCTCCTGCTGTGTATCTAAAAAAAAATACATTAGGCCAGACTAGCTGTGCTGAGCTTGAATGAGAAGAAACAGAGAGCGAGAAGCGCGCATATGCTCTGATTTGCTCCATCCGTAATCAGCTTTCTGCTCCAAGCGAAGCACGTTCTGTGCAGTAAGGCTCTTCGTGACTCAAGAGTATTAGCCAAATTGAAGACTGTTGCATCAACCCATTGAAACGCCTGTAGATCCTTGACCAAAACACAGGTGTGGCCTGTAATTTGTAGAGGGTCACGTTCACACCAGTGGGTCAAGCCCCAATGGCTTGGTTTACCTGCCAAGCTATTTTTAACAGGAAGATCCTAGACTAGGAGCTTTTTACTCTTTAGTGGGATCTCTGCAGTGCATTTACTCATTATTACATTGTTTGATTTGCCCAAGTTCATTGTGACACACGCTGGTAGCATTTCTTACCTGAGACCTAGATGGTGCAGAAACGAACAAGCAAATATTTGCTTCTCAGGTTGGGCATAAATGCCATTAACCATTCAGATTACTTCATATAGCATTTCATGAATGATTGCTAACCTTTTTGTGATATCCCTAAATTGCATAGGTGTGTGTTTGGTTCACATGTTTCTGACTACAATTTTATCCCCTTCTACCTGATTTATTTGATCATAAGTACAATTAAGTATTGAAATATTATTACAATTTAAAATAACTATTTTCTGTTATAATGTGTGTTAAAATGTAATTTATACCTGTAATGAAAAACCTGAATTTTTAGCAGCCATTCCAGTTTTCAGTGTCACACGATCCTTCAGAAATGTTTAATGTTTTTGTGGAAACATTTTTTTTTTTTTTGGATTCTTTGTTGAATAAAAAGTTCAAATGAGTAGCATTTATTTATTTACTTTTTTTTGTGTAACAGTAAAGTCGGTCTTTAAAGGCACAATATGTAAGATTTTTTTATTAAAATATCCAAAAACCACTAGAACAGTGTTATATAGTTTGCTGACTTGTGTACTTACATTATCCCAAATGTTTCGAAGTATGTTTAAATCCAGAGAAATAAGCAATTTTAACTAGTGACACGGACCTGGCTGTGGGGATAAAGACGACAACTCCCATGATTCCACACTCAGTCACGGCATCATCAAACTACGCCTTCGTCTATTTGTTTATTTTGAATATGCGCCCTCTAGCGGCGAAAATTACACATTGTGCCTTTAAGTGAAGACTTTACTGTCACTTTTGACCAATTTAATGCATCTTTGTTGAATAAAAGTATTAATTTATTTTAAGAAAGTTCTCATCTAGTAATCTTGAATTTTTATGTTTTGATAATTTAGTGCTTAAAAGGTGTCAGAACGCTGTTGATTAGCATGCTGAATAACAGACTGCAAATTTGAATTGATACTAAATGAGTAATTCATAGGATGAGTTAAACATGGGTGAAAAACTTGGATAGACATGAAAGGTTTAAAGAAATCTTATAGCCAAAAAAAGCCAACTCATTCTCCAAGTCATTTTTGAAGTTCTTGAGATGGAGAAAAGGTTGATTAGCTATAATTGACATCTTTGCACAATTTAAAATCAAGGCTCACCTGGTTTTTAAGTGTGTTTAACAATGAAATGGAGACAAGGTATAAGAGTCCGAGGTAACGGCTGAACACGGCGCGTGTGAAGGCGGACAGATGGGCGCTCTGTAAATTTGTTGCGTTTGATGTGCTTTCTTTGAAGTTCTAATTGAGCAGGAACAGTGAGGAGGGATGGAGTACTTAGAACAAGTCCATCAATCACGTGTGCTTTTATATGCCAAAAAGCATGTTGACGCACAGGCAACAGATGTTAGTTTTATTATTTAAGTGGAACTTGGATATTTCTAATGCATTCTTTGGTTTACTTCGCTCTGTACTGTCTAGATGGCCTTGTGATTTCCGCAAGTGTTTCTGAAGGTTCAGTCTGAGACTAATAGGCTTTCTGTGGCTTCAGAGGACATTTAATCCATAGACCGTGGAGCTGGCTTTCTTGTGGCAAATGGTTAGCATTTGCACGGACTCTTCACTCCACACATATGTATGGGAACGTACAGTAGGGAAAGAGCCTGTGTCTAGCCTTGGTTTTACGTGGTGGATGTGTACACATTTAACTGCAGCCTCAGTAGTGCGTCATAGTAGACAGCAGGGGTGTGTGGTATGACCAAAATCATATATCACAGAATGAGTAATAAGACTGTAGCTGTATATATATCAAGTATTTTTGCTGGATTTTCAAAGAATGGTTGATAATTATATGTAGTCATATGTGGTAATGTCGAGTTTTGGATTATCAGGTGAATTACATACTTAATTTAATTAAATTTATTTTAAATTTTTTTTGGAAATGGGATGTTAAGTTAAGTTACGTTACGTTACGTTACGTAAAGTTACGTAAGTTAAGTTCTTTTTTGGAACTTGGATTTATGTCAGGGGTGTCAAACTCAATTCCTGGAGAGCCGGATCCCTGCAGAGTTTAGATTCAACCCTAATTAAACACACCTGATCTAACTTATCAAGTCCTTCAGGCTTATTTGAAAACTACATGGTATGTGTGTTAGAGCAGGGTTGGAACAAAACTCTGCAGGGCTCCGGCCCTCCAGGAATTGAGTTTGACACCTCTGACTTATGTGTACATTATATTACAT